CTTGTATAAATCTTGCATTATAAAAATACATAAAACAAACCACAATAGTAACTTGGTCTCTGTACGACTCTGTACTGGAAACCAATCAGATCGCAGAACACAAGGGGACATCGGGTATGATGACATCAAATCAGGGCCTTCCCGCCCCTAATCACTGGCGGACTGCCCGAAGTATTCCGCCAATCAACCCGAAATCATTGTCTGCTGATTTCACGACAGTGTAACCTACCCGATATCGGTCAGCAAATAGAAAAACACATGCTCTCGCAGTTTCCACGTCAATGTCAACGTGCAGTTGATTGCCAGCAGTAAGCCAACCTCGCAACACAAACGTCCGATGAGTGTTCGGGCTTGACAAGTTCAACGGTGACAACTTTGCTGAGTGGTCCTTCAGATTGGAGAACGTGTTTGACCACTATGACCTGCTGGAGGTGATGGAAGGAACGCAGAAGCGTCCCGAGAACGACCCGGAGAAAAGCCCGTGGATGCGGAAGAGTGCACAAGGCTACCTCCTACTTGGACAAGCGTTGGGGAGCAGCCAAATCCGTCACATCAAGCCATTCCAGCGTGAACCACTAATAGAAAATGATTCAAGATATAGTCGAGAATGAGGCACAAGAGGTGGAACACCACCAACAAGAGGAACAAACACTACAGTAACTACAGCAAGTAGGATATATAATAAATATAGCTTTAACACACCCCCTTAGCCTGCTTGCAGTGGCAACTAGTGCAGTCAACACCCCCTGAAGGGGTACACCTGGCGTAGCGGGCGACGGACAGACTCCCTTCCCTTCTTTGCCATTAAACTCTTTTGCTACACATGCCACCTCCTTCCGAGCGCACAACGTATGCATGTAAATCTCTGCATGCAATGACCTGGAAGCTTACCACCCTTTAGGCACAGACATTACTCTGATAGCGAACAAGGGCAAATGAGTACAATTAGATACAACGCGACCGTGGTCAAACGCGATACACCATATCATGTGTAACGGGTGGGACACGACTGGGAACGTGTCAAGAATGAAAGTGTTGGTTTGACTAAGATTGGTTGGGGTACATAAACCTAACCCTAAGATTTGTACCCCCTATAACACACATCACTAAGACTACAACATTTGACACACCCCCATAGTCTAAGTGAGGGGTGTCAAGCAAAACCAAAAGTGTACGGTCACAAGACCAGTCACAAAGAAACAAAGCTCAGGGTGGATCACAGCGTCACCACACACTCCGAGCATAAGCAAAAGAGCCACAAAGCCAGTTCAAGAGTTCACAGAGGTATATATAGAGCATACAAAACAAAGCAAGCAGAGAACTCAAGACTACGCAAGGCGAGAACCTGTGTCAACGAGACCTAACTACACACATCACCTCTGGTGGTCACAAGGCGGAAGCGCCTTGGTGAAGATGTCTGCAGTGTTGGCCTCGGACTCCACAAAGTCGAAGCGAGCCTGTCCACGCCTCTGCAACTCTTGCAGAAGAAAGTACCTGACGTTGATGTGCTTCACTCTGCTCTCCAGTCGCTGCTCTCGACAGAGGAGAATCGACGCCTTGTTGTCAGTGAACAAGGTCGGTGCAAAGCTCGGCCGCTCACCAAGGTCGGTGAGCAAGAAGGTCAACCAACGCAACTCCTGTGCAGCCATGGCTCCAGCGTAGATCTCGGCCTCAGCAGTAGAGGTCGAGACCGAGGAGGAATGCGTGGACCTCCACGAAACAGCTCCAGAGCCCAGGCTGAAGCAGTACCCCTGAGTAGACCTGTGAGTCTCGGCGTCGTCAGCGTAAGAAGAGTCACAGTGTCCAGTAAGTACAACAGACTGCTGCCCTCCAAGAACCAGCCCCACGCCTGATGTCGTCGCTAGGTACTTCGCCACCCTCACAGCAGCTGTCCAGTGAACTGGACGGTGTCTCCCTGGCGCAACAAAGCGAGCAAGGATGCTGAGAGGGAAGGCGAGGTCCGGGCGAGTACAAGTCATCAGGAACATGAGGCAGCCCACAAGCTCTGCGTAAGGACCACTAGGCTCAAACGGCTCGTCAGGGAAGGGTCCAGTGAGTCTGTGGTCAACAGCAAGAGGTGTGTGCTGTACTGTGGAGTGCTGAAGCTCGAACCGCTGAAGGACCTGCTGCACCATGTGTGACTGTGAGAGTGTAATGGTGCGAGCGGCTCTGTCCCTGGTGATCTGCAGTCCAAGGTAGTGGCACAGCTCACCAAGGTCAGTGCACGTGTGTCTCTTCTGCAGTTCGCGCTTCACGTCAGCCAAAGCAACCCTGTCAGCAGTGGCGAAAACCAGGTCGTCGACGTAGACCAGTACAAAGAACGGTGTGGAGCCACGCCGAACAAACAGCGACGGGTCGGCAGAAGACGGCTGGAAACCGAGGTCAGACAGGGTAGAACAGTTACGATATGAATGAATTGATAGAAAATGTGAAGTACAACCCTAGATATAGCAAACCCTAATCATGCAAGTAAGTAGAAATGTAACACCTAGACTAACCTAAACAACACATATAAAATATATGTTGACAAGAACGAAGGGTGTCGTGCCACTCACGAGGAGCCTGACGGAGACCGTAGACCGGTCGCCTCAGCCTCCACTGGGTCCCAGGAGGGAAGGTGCCAGTGAAGGCAGAGGGACGACGCAGCCAGACCTCCTCGTGTAGGCTACCCTGAAGGAAAGCAGTAGAGAAGTCGAGAGAGTGTAACTCGTAGTCTCTCTGTGCTGCTACGTGCAGTAACACCCGAAGAGTGGTCATCTTCGGGGTAGGCGCGAAGGTCTGAAAGAAGTCAACTCCCTCGCGCTGACTGAAACCTCTAGCCACATAGCGCGCCTTGAAGACCGGAGGAGATCCCGGTGGCCGCTTCACCCTGAAGATCCACATGCCATCGACTACGTTCGCCCCAGGGGGGGGAACTTCGTCGACGTAAGTGCCTGTGGATCTGTAGGAGACCATCTCTGAGTCCATGGCAGCTCTCCACTGAGAGGCCCAAGGCCCTGACACTGCATCAGCGTAAGTGCGAGGAGTCGGTATGTCAAGGGCGTCGGGGTCTCCCTCAAGGGCGAGCAGCATGGCACAGAGATGAGGGGAAGTGGCTGCCAGGAACTCTAGCTCAAACTGCCTGTCCTCTAGGGCGTCACAGCCAAGGGCTGACTCACCCCCGACGGCCAGAGGACGGGTAGGAGGAGCAGCCAAAAGACTGGTGGCGTAGTCAAGGCGGCGAGTAGAGGCAAACTCAGTGACTGCGGCAGTAAGAGCGGAGACAGAGGACAGAGAAGCACGTGGGTCGGTAACAAGAGAGGCGAGAACACAAGAGAGAACAGGACGGTACGTGCGGTAGTAGTCTGTGACAGGAGTAGAGAGGGAAGCAGTGAGAGCCGACTCAGGAGGAGAAGGAAGTACAGAAGGAGACGAACGAGGCGGACTAGAACGAAACAGGGCAGTACGAAGGTCAGTGAAGGGAACAGGAGACGAGTGACGAGCACGAGGAGAGCGACGCAAAGACCAAGTGTGAGAAAGAGGAGGGGACAACGGGGGCAGAGGAGGAGGGAAAACAGCTGGGGAGGGGTCAGGAGGAGGAAGCGGAGGACCAGAGACGGGAGGAGAGGGGGAGGAGGGAGGAGAGGGAGAGGGGAGACCAAGGGTCCGAAGACCAGAGACAGGAGGAGGAGGTGGCTGCTGCTGCTGCTCATGCTGTGGCTGCGACCGCTGCTCCTCCAGCTGCGGCGGCTGCTGCTGCTCCTGCTGCTGCGGCTACTGCTGCGGCTGCTGCTGCTGCGGCTGCTGCTGCTGCTGCTGCTGCTGCTGCTGCTGCTGCTGCTGCTGCTCCTCCAACCGCTGTAGCTCCAGCTGCTGTCGCTCCAACTCTCTCTCCTCTCGCTCCACCTCCAGCTGCTCCTCACGGGCACGGCGTACATGGGCCTGGTGCCGGGTCGGGTAGGGGTGGGGGGGAGGAGTAGTGTCCGGAGCGGTGGTAGCCCCAAGAACGATATCCAAAGAACCAGTCGCACCACCCCCAGAGCCAGCACCACCAGAAGTAACAGGGTCCGTCCCAGGCTCTCCAGGTCCAGCAGAGGGTGCACCCCCAGTCGTAGCACCCCCAGGGACAGCTCCACTAACACCAGCTCCCCGAAGACTAGAGTCTCCTGCAGTCACGGGCTCAGCTCCAACTCCAGCACCCCCAGAACCAGGACCTTGCACAGGTACGCTCTCTGCTCCAACTCCAGCACCTCTAGAGCTAGCACCTCCAGGGTCCTCGCCACGAAAACCGGCTCCCGCAGGGTCTGCTATAGGCTGGGAGGAGGACTGCGGGGAAGGAGGCTGCACCTGAGGGGCTACCGAGGGGGGAGGGGTAGCGTGGGACACACCTGACCGGGCGGGACCAGGGGGGGGAGGCTGTACCGGGGGAGCAGGAGGGGGAGCTGAAGTCAGGAAGAGAGGGGGAGGAGGAACCGGGAGACCTCGACAGGGGTACCTGACGTAGTAGGGGACGGACTCGTCGAAACGGACGTCACGAGAGTCAAAGAACCGGTGAAGGGGAGGGTGGTAAAAGGTGTAGTCAGAGGAGTCAGCAGGGAAACCAAGGAAAACGCAGGGAACAGCGCGAGGCGAGATCTTTTCCGCGGCGGTGTCGCGAACAAGTGCCAAGCAACCCCAGACACGAAAACGAGACGCAGCACCAGGGGACCCGGTCCAAAGACTGGTCGGTGAAACCTCTGGCCGAGAGACATGTGGCCAGAGGTTCAGCTGGTGAGCGGCGTACCGAACCGCGTAAGGCCACAGAAAATGGGGGGCACGGGCGTGAGTCATGGAGGTGCGGGCGATCTCCATGACCAAGCCTATGCGGCGCTCAGCAACCCCATTCTGCTGTGGGGACTCTGGAAGCGTCCAGGACTGACGGATGCCCTGCTCGCGACAGAATCCAGCGAGAACGCCAGAGCGAAACTCACCCCCGCGGTCGGAGTGAAGACGGCTGACACGACGACCACGAGTGTCCGACATCACGGCTGACATCGCGGGTGGAACAGGTGGGGCACAACCGGGTACGGACAACACGCGTGAAACGGGTGGAGCACAACCGGGTACGGACAGCACGGGGGAAACGTGTGGGGCACAACCGGGTACAGACAGCACGGGTGAAACGGGTGGGGCACAACCGGGTACGGACAGCACGGGTGAAACGAGTGGGGCACAACCGGGTAAGAACAGCACGGGTGAAACGGGTGGGGCACAACTGGGTACGGACAGCACAGGTGAAACGGGTGGGGCACAACCGGGTACGGACAGCACGGGTGAAACGGGTGGGGCACAACTGGGTACAAACAGCACGGATGCAACGGGTGAGGCACAACCGGGTACGGACAGCACGGGTGAAACGGGTGAGGCACAACCGGGTACGGACAGCACGGGTGAGTGGTACAGACTGGAACGGACTGGCACGGGGGAGACACGAGCGGGGCAGCACGACACACGGGTGGCACGGGGCAGAATCAAGGGTAGAATACGGACAGAATGGGGCAGCACGGGCAGAATGGGGCAGCACAGGCAGAACGGGGCAGCACGAGCAGAACGGGGCACCACGGGCAGAACGGGGCAGCACAGGCAGAACGGGGCAGCACGAGCAGAACGGGGCAGCACGGGCAGAACGGGGCAGCACAGGCAGAACGGGGCAGCACGAGCAGAACGGGGCAGCACGGGCAGAACGGGGCAGCACGGGACGCACTGGAGCACGGGAGCACGGGAGCACGGGAGCACGAGAACGGCGGGGCAGCAGCACGAGAGACGGGGCGGGGGGATGAGAGGAGGAGGAGTGGTGGCAGTTGCTGCAGCTGGATCAGCCACCCACACCCCCTGAACCTCCCCCCTACAGCAGCAGCAGCGGCAGAGAGGGAGAGGAGGAGGCGTGGCGGCAGTTTCTGCAGGTGGATCACCCCCTCTATGCCACTCCCCCCCCAACAGCTGCCGTTGCGGAAGGGAAGGCGACGGGGAGGGGGAAAGGGAAGAGGGACGGGCGGTAGGCGCTGGCGGCAGTTCTGGCGCTAGCGCTGGCGTTCGCTGCTGACAGCCGCTCACCACCCCTTTCCCCCACTCCTCCCCCCCCCCACATGAGCCCCCAACCCCGCCACTCCCGCCACTCCCGCCACTCCCGCCATTCCCGCCGCCGCTGCCCCCACTGTCCGCCACACCCACCACCGCCCAACATGGCATAGGCAGGCGCGGTAGAGGGGGAAGGTGCGACGAGGGAGGGACGGGGAGGGGCAGGGACAGCACGGGTACGGGACGAAACGGCAGTTGCTGACGCGGCAGATGCAGGCGGGACAGAGACGGGTCGTGCAGATGCGGGTGACGTACGAGAGAAGGGCGGGGTGCGAGCTGGCTGGCGTGTCGGTTGGCGAGCTGGCTGGCGTGTCGGTTGGCGAGCTGGCTGGCGTGTCGGTTGGCAAGCTGGCTGGCGCGTCGGTTGGGCCGCCACCCCTTTTCCCCTGCCCTCCCCCCCCACCGCGACCGTCGCTGCAACCGCGCAGGGCCGGGACGGGTGGGGAAGAGGTGGCGGGGTGGGGAGCTGACGACGGGGGCTGCAGGTGCTGGTTACGCAGCCGTCGCTGCTGGCGCGCTGGTCGTCGCGATCTTCGTCAGCGAGGGTGCGACGTGGAGGCGTCGCGAGGCAGTGCGTGTGGGCGAACGCGCTGGCGAGCCGCTGACGATTTCGCTGGCATTCTCGCTGGCGCATGGGCGACGAGATGTGACGGGGCAGATCTGGGCCGCGCCCCTGGCGCGAAGGGACGGCGAGTTACGAGGCGGCGACGGGCGCGAGACGGGGCAGCGAAGGGGCGGGCCGACGGGCTGAAGGCAATGAAGCACTCTCGAGGCGCACTACAGGCTGCGTAACGGAGCGCGCCATGGCGAGAGGCTAGCGGTGGGCCCATGTAACGGTCCTAAATCGGACCTAGCTCAATACCATGTCACAATACTAACGTAGCTAAGAACCGGGGTTTAGCTAGGGCCTAGGGTTAGTAGCCTAGGCCAAGGGAGTGTCTAATAGTTTGTGCCAAGGAGAATCGAGAATGATTAGTTTCACTAATAGAAAATGATACAAGATATAGTCGAGAATGAGGCACAAGAGGTGGAACACCACCAACAAGAGGAACAAACACTACAGTAACTACACCAAGTAGGATATATAATAAATATAGCTTTAACACAAAGGCATGGGCTGCTCTCAAGGGTGTACACGCTCCTGCAACAGCGGCGGTAGCGGTGGTGTTGGAACGGCAAATGGCGACACTACGAATTGACGAGGATGAAGCGGTTGAAGAAGGGGTGCAGAAATTCTTCGACTTGTTGACGCGGCTTGAGGGAGCTGATTTGAACTACAGTGAGCTCCAGAAGAAGACCAAGTTGCTGGCCTTACTCCCAGAGTCATGGTCCTCGCTCATCATCAATCTCAACCGAGATCTGCCCCGCCTCTCACTCGAAGATGTGAAGCGAGCAATCCTCCAAGAGGATTTCCGCCGCCGTGAGTTGGCGAGTGCGGATGGCGCCGGGGCAGCAAGCATCGGCCGGGGGTACGGCCGTGGAAGACCCAGAGGACGAGGGGGAGGCAGATTTGGCAGCAACAACTTCAATAGAGGCCGCGGGAGTGGCGGTTACAGCAGCGACGACAAGAGCTACGGACGTGGTCGCGGCCGATTCGACGGCGAGTGCCACTTTTGCCACAAGAGCGGACACATGTGGCGCGATTGCTACAAACTCCCTGATGGTTGGACCCCTTCTCAAGGCCAGGAGGGTAGAGGAGCAGGAGGAGGGAGAGAAAGAGGCCGTGGAGGCCGTGGCGGTCGCGGAGGTGGTGCTGCGAATATGAAGAGTGACAGCAACGAGAGCGAGTCGAGGGACGATCGCTTTCCGGGTCAATTCTTCTTCGTCTCGACGCAAGCGCCGGCTGCACCAGAGAAGGATGAAGACTTTGAAGAGCCTGCAGCTGTGGGAAAGGTCACCCTACACCCCTTGGACTATTGGGTGATCGATAGCGGCGCTACCTATACCATGACACCTCGCGCGGTTTTGCTCACCGAACTTGAACCGTCACCGGTGAAGCATGTCACATCGGCTTTGGGGCAGCGAGCAGAGGTGAAAGGCATGGGCAAGGCCATGTTCAAGGGTGCTGATGGAAAGATGGTGGGCCTCAAGAACGTGCTTTGGGTGCCCAGCCTTGCTGCGAACCTGATTTCCATGCGGCGATTGGCAAAGGCCGGCATGGACACGAACTCGAAGGGAGCCAAGACCTACACCGCAAGGATTGGCGAGCGGATTCTATGGGACCTTCACGAAGATAGGGATGTCTACAACGAGATGTGGCAGATCCCTGTGGTCCCCATGCCTAAGGAGAGGCAAGTGGCAGCAAGCATCAGCGCCAAGGGCGAAGCGGTTGGTAGCGGCTATGGCGCGAACGATCGTGCCAAGGAGAACGAGCTCAAGAAGAGCAAACCTGGAGGGACCAGCAAGCTCGGTGATCCTAAGGAGAATGGTGCGGCAGCCAAGGAGCAGCACAAGGGTGAGGAGAACCCCGAGGCAGCAGCGGAGGAGGACTACGGAGAGAGTATGTGGGGCGCTATTGCGAGCACGGCATTCTCCAATCCAACTTCGGCTAAGGGGGAGAGTTCCTGAGCAAGGAGTTCGGATTGTGGCTGAAGAAGAATGGGATAAGGCACTCCCTTACCATGCCCTACTCCCCTGCAATGAACGGCATTGCCGAGCGAGCAAACTGCACAATCACGGAGACGGCACGCGGGTTGCTCATAGAAGCCGGGCTACCCGACTATTTCTGGCCTGATGCGGTGCGGAGTGCGTGTGTGGCCAAGAACAGAGCTTTGACTCATGTGGGAGCAGACAAATGGGTGCCCTATGTGGAGTGGATTGGAAGAAAGCCAAAGGTGGATAGGCTTCGGGTGTTCGGGTGCATGTGCATGGCGCTCGTACCTAAGCATCTTCGGCACAACAAGTTTGGTGCCAAGGCGATATGGGCCGTGCACTTGGGCATGGCTCAAAACAGAAAGGGGTGGCTTCTTTGGGACCCATTCACCAAGAAGTTCATGGTGAGCAGGGACTGCAAGTTCATGGAGAACCTCATGTACATGGATTGGAAGGCGGAGAACGAGGCAAAGATAGGCATGCGGTTTGGGGAGGTGAAGAGTTCCGCCCTGGAGCACGTGGAGCTGCCTTTGGAGCTGAGAAGCGGCAGCACTACCACAAGGCAATCTTCCCTTGTGAATGGGGGAGAGGAGGCCAAGGATGCAGAGGAAGAAGAGGAGGAGGTGCAGCAAGTGAGCGAGCGTGCACCGACACTTCCTTCACGCGCTACAAGTGCTCCACGGATCCGAGTCACCCCGCAGCAACGCCAAGGCCTTCAAGTCCCTGCAGCTGAGGAGGAAGGAAGGGGCAAGAGGAGAGTTCAAGCCCCTAATAGGCTGACCTATGATGCACCAGGAAAGCAGGGCAAGTCAGCCCTGGCCGGAGCGGCAATGATGGTCGGAGATGACGAGGAAAGCGAGTACGAGGAGTGTGCCTTCGTGTTCTTCTCTCCGGTGGAGATGCCGGGAGAACCAGCAACTCTCAAGGAGGCCTTGGAACGTACTGATGCTGAGGAGTGGAAGAAGGCCATGGAGAGTGAGCTGAAGCGCATTGAGGAGAACGACACGTGGGAATTGGTGGAGTTACCGGAGGGGCGTAAGGCGATTACGTCCAAGTGGCTCTTCAAGATCAAGTCGGACGCCGACGGCAAGATCGAGCGCTACAAGTCTAGGCTTGTAGCCAAGGGGTACCAGCAGAAGGAGAAGGTGGACTTCAAGGAGCTGTTTGCTCCTGTGGTGAAGCCGACAACGCTGCGGACCCTACTCGCGGGGGCTGCCATCAAAGGATGGGTGGTGAAGCAGATGGACGTGACAACCGCGTTCCTCAACGGCATCCTCGAAGAAGAGATTTTCTTGGCGCAGCCAGAGGGGTTTGATGATGGTAGTGGCAGAGTTTTGAAGCTGAAGAAGGCCCTCTATGGGCTGAAGCAGGCCCCTAGGCAATGGTACTTGAATCTGCGAGAAGTTTTGGAGGAGATCGGCTTCACTCCCTCAACGGCCGATCACTCCTTGTTCATGCTTGGCGAGGGGGAGCAGAGGAGATTCATGGTGGTGTACGTGGATGACATCCTCATCTTCTCACCCTCCTCTGACCTTGTGAAGGAGGTGATGCTGAAGCTTCAGGACAAGTTCAAGTGCAAGGCACTTGGCAACGTGAACTTCTACCTCGGGCTCCACATCGAACGCGACGTGGAGAAGCGGTGCATGCGGGTGCACCAACGGAAGTACCTGGAGGCGTTGGCTGCCAACTTTGGGCAGAGTGAAGGTCATGTGGCTACACCCTTTCCCTCTGGGTTCAAGTGTGTGAAGGGACCAGAGGAGGAGAGCGTTGGTGAAGAGGAGAGGCGCCGTTTTCACTCGTTGGTGGGCAGCCTCATGTATGCGGCGGTAAACACTCGGCCGGACGTGGCCTTTGCTACCGAGAAGCTGGCTAGGGTTGTGCAATGCCCTAATGAGGAGCAGGTAGCAGCTGGAATGAGGGTGGCTAAGTATCTTGGCCAAACACCGACCGTTGGGCTGCAATACTCGGCGGCGGCGCAAAGGCGCCAAAATGGCGCGGATGGTGTAGAACCCGGGCGTTTGTTCCTCACCGCCTACTCGGATGCTTCATATGCATCGGAACCAGAGGACATGACAAGTGTTGGAGGGTTCATTTGCTGTGTTGGTGGAGGCCCAACTGCTTGGGAGAGAAAGAAGCAGGTGGACCAAGCATTGAGCTCGGTGGAGTCCGAGTACATGGCACTCTTCCGTGCCGTAAGGGAGATTGTATGGCAGCGGCGTTTGTTGGCTGAATTGGAGGAGGAGCAGCAAGGACCTACCCCACTCTACTGTGACAGCCAGGGTGCCATTGCTCTTGCTAAGAACCCTGTGTTGCATGGCCTCACCAAGCACATGAGGGTGAAGTGGCATTGGACGAGGAGCATGGTGGCCGCGGGTGAAGTTGAGTTGCGTTACGTGAAGACGACGGGGCAGCCGGCTGACATGATGACTAAGAGGCTGGTGGAGCAGCAGCATTGGAAGTGCTGCAAGCTGGCTCGGATGGCTATGAACTGAGAGGAGCAGATCCTAAGGCCAACAATCTGAGGGAGAGTTTGTTGGTGCAACCCTACGGTTTGCACTCGGCTTGTTGTGTGTGTCGCGCGGTTTCCATTTTGTCGTGTGTGGAACGTTCGGCGTGTCGCAGGTGTGTGCAGCAGACCCATCAAGAACTCAAGGATGAGTTTATGGTGAAGAACCAGAGCCTTGGTGTCAAGATTCAAGTGATCGCGAAGCCCGCGAAAAGGGTACACCTCAAGATATTGAGAATAGTTACACTACTTTGTATAGTGTAAAATTTCACTTGGTGTAGGCCCTTGTGAATGGTAGTTTCGAGACCCTTCGTGGTTGGGGACAGTGTGGGACTGTTCCACATCACTGTACCTCGGCTCTTGGGGTTTGTAGGAGCTGGGAGTCATTCCCAACTCGTAACTCTTCCTATCTTGTGTTCTAAGACTATAGTGGTTGCCATAGTGCCGTTCGTTCAAACCGACACTGTGTCGTCAATACTTGGTGAAATCGTGCGATATAAAGTGCCTATTGTAGGCGACGTT